TATATATATTGTAAAAAATATAAATGATTTTCTAATGAATATAAAGAAAATGGTCCTTACCTGCCCCCATACAAGTTCACCTAATCCAATAAATACACACCACATCCATTGGTCAAGTTCCAAAGGAGAACAACTAAAAGGTTTCCCACCAAATTGAACAATTACTATCTACAGAAGGAAAAGAATAAAATGAAATATGCATTTACTACCAGAGCCTCAAATTCTGTTCTTGTATTTTCTTCCAAAAATTAACATTCATATTTTTGTTTTCTGCTTCCTTAAAAAAAATAATACCAGCATGCTTTTGGACCAATAAAATCGAACAAATGCATTATTGACAAGCTATAGCCTATACCTGCATATAGACAATTACCCAGTCTGAAACAATCAACAAGAAACAAAGGACAATGAAGGAGACAGACCCAACAATAAGCCCAGATGTCTAATTTGCCCCCAATCTACAACAGCACCAACACAAATCCCAACAAATACACACATATGATTCGAGATGGCTTCACATAGTCTTCCTCTAATGTGATATATTTATATTTGCTGTCATGTTGTATGCCACCCAGTCACATAATTTGAATTGGGTGGCCTTATTTATCTGTGTAATAAATAGATAAATAAAGTAAATCAATCAATCAACACAACTCTCCTCCCACTATGAAAAAAAGACATATAGCAGATGAAGCCCCAAAAGAAATAAATTAATGGGCAAAAATAAGGAATGCTCAGATTTAGATAAAGAACTTTAATAATGACAAATTAGCAATTGATTTATACAATGTCTTTAGATTTTCTTAAAAGGACTATAATATAGGATGAAAGTGTGAAAAGTAGAAAAACTGCACAGTGAAGCATGTAAATAATATCTGGCTGTTTTAGCATTGTCAGATAGATTACCTGTACAGCGAATGTACCCAATACAATAGTGCAAAATATAGGGTTTCTAAAGATGCCATCAAAAACATTCCTTTCACCATGGATTTTGCGTGCATTGATTTCATTAAATAGTTGCATCATGACAAAAGTATTGAAGATGATGGTGTAGTGCTCAGAAGGTGGAGAGTGGAGTGGTGCGTTTCTGCCACTATCGATCATGAACATTTTTTCACCTGGTCAAGCAGAAAATTAACAGAATTTAAAAACATCGTTTGAAGTTTCGATTCAGGATACAATTTGTTCACAGCTCATTATCATGTTTTATGAGGTCATCTAGATCACCATTGCCACAAAATTCTGAAACAAACTATCTGTTCTCCAAATATGCTAAAGTCTACAATTTCCAAGGTGGAAGTTTTTAAAATATAATTTGTCCCAGACTAACAGGACTAATTATCTCTAATTATGGTATCCAAACTAGTCACTTAGAACCAAATGTTTGCTTAGGAATTTCAGCAGTGCAACTGAAGTTCCTTTTGGGCAAGTTTGTAAGAGTAAAGAGTAAAAATAGGAATGGCACCAGGGCCTTTAAGGCGTCTATTCCCAAATCTACCCTTAACAAAGCCCCCCTCCCCCCCAAAATTCTAGAAGAATCTTCCAGAAAAATCTAGACGATTCTTCCCCTTCCAGTTATATTACTATATCATGGAAGCTCCTGCTGCCCTCTGGAATAAAATTGGCTTTCCATTACTGATAGATTACCTGCTCTTCTTTTATACCTAATGGACAATTTTCAGGGTATTATGTAATTACAAGCTTTGCAGGATCCAATCTGGGTTGGTCACCAGGACCAGAGGTTTTGTCTTTCAAGTTTTCCGATTCGTGCTACAAGCTACAAGCTTTATCACCCATGAAAAATAATGCGACCTAATAATATTGAAACTGAATGAAAGTAGAATTTGAGTAGAATAATTACATTCAGATCCATCATTTTATGATGGAAGAAAAAATGAAGTATTAAAAAAAAGGCTGAAAAACTGAGCAATAAGAATCATTAAATTTCTCCAGGATGCTTGTTTATTAAATTTCAATATAAACTCATTTAAAATTCATAGAAAGGAATGTTTGTAACTCAGGGTTGAACTGTGTGGTCCTTGTTGCTCTCTGAACTTAGTGGTTTTCTTGCAGATGTTTCATTAACAAACTAGGTAACACTATCAGTGCTAAAAGGCAGTGAAGTTTGCTCAATCATTTAGAATTGATACCATAATACAAGAAGTACTAGAAATTTGCTCAATAAATCAGCAGAAATCCATTTTAAAAAGAAAGAATTTAGAAACATTGTCCAAGAAAAAGATAGGGAGGGGGGGGACAAATAACTAAATTGAACGTATGACTAAAAACCTGAAGATAAGCCTCTAAATATTTTAAATCAATC